GGGGGGAGTGGGGGAACCAGCCTAAGCAGACCCACTCCCCAACCACAAGACACCACCACAGGGAGGGGGAAGCAACCCACAACCACACCACACCACAGGGAGGGGGAGGAGGAACCATTGGGGGGGGAGGGGGGGGGGCCGGCCGAACCGGGATCATATATATATATATATATATATATATAGACCCCCCCAAGATCCACGTCTGCAGGTTTCCAGATTCTGGATTTCCTGATTTCCGGCTCATTCCTGATTTCCAAATTTGCACACCCTCAGCTTCCAGAGATTCCAGATTCCAGAGCTCCAGATTTGCACGCCCTTAAGGTTTCCAGGTTCCAAATTTCCAAAAATCTGGAATCTGGAAACCTAGACTCTGTTAACTTTGTTGTCGCAGCTCTCGAATCTAGAAACTTAGGGCGTGCAAATCTAGAATCTTTGCAAACTTAGGGAATGCAGATCTGGAAATCTGGAATCTCTGCAGACTTCGGGCGTGCAAATCTGGAAACCTGGAATCTTGAGGCCTGTCAATCTGGAAATTTGGAATCTTGAATCATAAGGCCGGTCAATGTCGAAACCTGGAATCTGCAAGCCTGGGGCGTGTAAACACGTGAGCATCAGCCGCGGCCAGAGCGAGCATCATGAACATCGGTCGGTTTCGGGACTGGTGCCAAGAGCAAAAAAGCATGAGCATCAGCTGCGGCCAGAGCTAACATCATGAACATTAATCGGTTTCGGGGCCTCAATCAAAACCGCCTGGCCCGTTCAGCTCCCTTCCAGCCGCAGTTTTGAGCCAATGAGTGCTTATCAAAGGGTCTAGTGAAAAGGAACATGTGATGGGTGCGCAACATTGCGCAGCCGTACAATCAAGTGTGACTCCAAGCCTACTGAGCCCTGGCAGTAAACGAAACCATGGCTAGTTTCCAGTTGAGTTGTAGCTTATTGAGTAACGGATGCCTATGAAGGAAATCAGGAGCCTACGAGTAGAAGAATAGCCTTTAAATACCTTATACAATACCCCCTCCACCTTCACGGTTATACCATATAGAATATATCCTGTATACCCAGTACATACCTTAGGGAATACGCTTTAACCTATATAAAACTTGTGGAATTCTCTCCTATATATACACCCCATAGAAAACCCTCTATACAATACATTATAGAACTTGAATACCCTATAGAATGCCACATAAAATACCTTGGCTTTTCGCCTCTGTACCCTACATAAGCCTTACAGGATAGCATCTGGAATACTTTATAGATCGCCTTTTCGAAATCCCTATACATGATACCCCTTGTATACCATACCCTTGGGAATCCTCTTGGAATACCCGAAAGAGATGCTGTAGACAAGGATTTTATATAGGAGAAATGAGGAGGAGCTCAGGATCTTGTAGCTCATTGAGCAAGGGATTTCCTCGAAGGAAACGAAGAATAAAAGATAATAGCCTGTAGAATACGACAAACATTCAGGAAACGTCATCTAAAATACGGTAATAGCTTTTACAATACCCTCTATATACCTTCTGCATACCTTGTGAAATAGCCTATAGGCTACAGAACACCTGTAAGAACACTTTCAAGGATAGCTGCTATATATACCTTATAGAATACCCTAAAATACCGTATAGAATATTTTGCAAAAGAAGCATTTATATAGGAAAGATCAGGAGGAGCCCAAGATCTGAGAGTTCCCAAATTGAATCGTAGTTTGCTGGGCAAGGGATTCACACGAAGGAAATGCAGAATCTAGGATCTAAGAACTCCTGGAACAGATCGACACTTATCTAGTAAGGGATACATATAAAGAACAACATATCTTATAACGCAACCCCTATACACACCCTACTTTCTACAATGCCGTGAAGAAAACTATAGAATACCATATAGACTACTTGAAGGATGTTTTATACAACCCCCCCCCCCCCGATTTGCCGTACATATGCATTATAGAATACCATCTGGAATACCCTGTAAAGTACCTGATAGAAGACCGTCTGTATATGCTACCTTCTGTATGCCTTATGTATGCCATATGGAATACCTATAAAATACCTAATAGCATACCCTGTCGAATCCCCTACAGAATACCCTATCAAGGACCGTATCGATAGGGATTTTAAACATGGAGAACCAGTCGGCGCCCAAGATCTGAGGTCCCCAGTTGACTTGTAGCTTTTGGGTATGGGTTTCCTATGAAGAATCGGGAACCAAGAAGAATAGCCTTACAGCTACCTTATAGAATGACCCCTCTATGTTCCATAAAAAATTGCATATAAAGTACCTTATAGAGTACCGTCCTAAATAAAGAAAAACTGCTTGTACAATCCCGTGGAGAGTACCCTATAGACTACCTTATACAATGCCCTATAGAATGCCATCTGGGATACGCTGTTATAGCACCTTGCAGAAAACCGCCAAATATACCAACAATCCTCTAGAATACTATTTAAGACACAAGAAATAGATCTAGATATAGATGTAGATGTAGACAGAGATACACAGATAGACTAGATATAGCTTTGACATAGCTATGGCGATTGCTATAGATACAGACAGATAGACAGACAGATAGGTACACAGGTAGGTAGATAGACAGATAGGTAGATGGATAGGTAGGTGGCTAGATAGATAGATGGGTATAGGTAAAGAGAAAAGTGAGAGCAAACTTAAAACACACAACGCGGGCCTGGTTACCGGTCTGGCATGCTTGTATAACAGCGTAAGTTCCTATATAGCCGAGGAGCTACAGGATGTCCTAGCGATTTGACGGCATCCATTTCGAGCCATGCGCAGATTGCACCAGGAGTCCGCAAAGGTCCGTGACCGACTCTTAGTACGAGATCTCTCGGTCGAGAAATCTCAGAAAATGACATGAAATGCAGTGACTAGGGCTTGGGGAGTGAGCTTCCCTGAGACGTAAGTCTCAGGGAAAGCCGCCATGACATTGACCTCCGAATCTGAGCTTGTCAGCGATCTTCATGTTCGGAGTGCGCAGCCTGTGCAGAGACTACGATCATGCTCGAATGAGTCCCAAAAACTGTACTGGAGGACAATGTATGGCACTGCCTCATGCTACCGTGACGATGTCTTCCGAGAAGACATCGAGTTTCAAAGGTGGGATACCGAAAACCCCAAGCAGAACAACTACAGAGCGTGTCTGCCGCAGTTTGGTGGCAAATCGCCTGTACCCTCGCACAATCGCAACCGGCCCGACATTGGCAAGCACAGCGGCGTCACCGCGAAGGAACCTGCTGTAAACAACTACTCTGGTGGCACGTTCGGACCACACTGTGCAACGAGCTGCGCCAGTTTAGTGACCCAGTCACCAAAAACTCTTATGAATGTTTGGTGATTCAGGGGCCAAATGGCTACCTAGAGATGCCAGGTCTGATCTGGTGCCTTCTCGAAGCTGATGCCTGCCTGCACTTGCACTAACTGGCCTCGAGTCAATAGGAGCAACGAGGTCAGAAAGTGCACCCATGCAGCGGCAAATTAAAGTAAAAAAGGGAGACAATTCAAATCCAGCCATGCTTCAGCCCTTGCGGCTAGGTCATCCCGAGAGTCTAATCACTGGGTTCTGACCCAGGTCTGCGATGGGCAGTCATGGACTGTTGCACCAGCCATGTAGAGACTTAGATGCAAGCGATTTCGAATTCCGGGGATTCTTGCCGTGTCAATGTAGGGCTTGCCGTTGCAGAGCGCTTACGCATGTCACGGGCTCGGCTCCTTGCTGCGGCAAGCTTGGCATCCTTGAAGATGTGCTCCTCTTTCTGACGCGGCACATCGATGGACAGGGCTGCCAAGAGGCCCTTGCTGCGGTACGTAGGCTTGGCAGTGATGGGGTGCATCCTCGTCTTCAGACTCAGAGACTTGCGTGCCATTTCTGGTGAATGCTCGCCGCTCAGAGCAAAGGTGATTCCTCCGTTTGCCATGCCTTCGTCCACCGGCCGTTCAGGCTGACAAGAACTCTAGCTGCTGAAGTGGACTGCGAAATCTGCTGCCTCCTCTGAGCCCAAACACACCACCCCGTACATCTCAGCACACACAAGCGTATAGTTCTCACTCGCAAAGCACTGGCAAACAGAAAAGCCGTGTTGAAAATTCTCATGCTGGCAGTGGCAGCTGGAGCAGCAGTAGCAGCTGCACCCCGATGAGAAGACCTGGACACCTAATTTGCGACGCCAGCCTGTCATGTACTCGGTTCAGGAGCCGAGGCACCGATGGGAAGAAGGTCGGTCGTAAGGCCTGTGCTGAGGTTTAAGGCTGTTTAAGGCTTTAGGGTCTCAGGTTCAGGGTCCAGCCGCAACCCTTCGACTCAAAAGCTTCAGGGCTTCAACTGCTTCGTCTAAATATCGGTTCCCTTCAGCTATCTATCGCAACAGCGTCGGCTCCACCAGGCCCTTACCCATCCCTCTGTTCGGATTGTGGGTTCAGACTGGAGAAGTTGGGGATCGGGATTTCCGGAAGAGTTATGACTCGGCTATGACATGGGCCCGACGATCTAAAAGCCGTACATCACCGACTTGACATGACAGCCACTCCATGCCACTCCTGTCAGGGGCTGGTATGGGGATGAAAAACCGAGGCTGCAGTGTCGAGCTACTTGTGAGTAGAGCGAAGGCAAATGATTGCAAAGGCAGGTCTTATTGATTGTGCATGTATGGCTGATTGCTCAGGTCCCTATCTTGAGAAGCGTCATTCCTCCTCCTCCAATTCGTTTTCATTTTTCAGGCAACAAGGCAGCTCAAACAACCATTCCATGCTTTCCTTCATGTTTGCCACTACGTCGCTAAGACCTGTCGGGCGTACAACGCGGATGTAAGTAGTTTCATGATGTCGACCTCTTGCAATTGAGATTCGCAAATTGTCTCCCAAACAGGGATGTTCATGAATCTGATGTCTACATTTGTCGTATAGACCGTCCTGTTGAGGGATTGGCCGCAAACTCACACAAAAACACATGATTACAACAAGTACTCGTTTGCGAAATTGTCAACACCAGATACGACTCCAACGCTGTAAAGCCGACGATACCACCGCTCCGATTGCTAAACAAACAAAGCAGAGTGCCAGCTACGAGAAAACACGGATACAGACTATTCCAAAGATGCTCGCAGCAACAGTAGCTGCAGAGAGAATACCCCCGCGATGCCGCAGCGACAAACAGTAAGAGCGAAATGAACAGGGACAACACAACTACAAAGCTCAAGGCGTGCCCGACTGTTGTCACGCTTGCAGACTAAAGCCAGAAGGGTTTCCGGGGGTCAAGTGTCATATTCCTTGTGATGGCTTCTGCCGGTCATGGAAGCACTGCGGGGTCGATCACACCAAACATGCCACACCTATGTTGGGGTGATTCGAGCCCTTGGAGCAGGATTTTGGATATTTGTGTGGCATCCTTGGCCGCCTTGTGCCGCATGGCCGGTGGACACTGGCTTGACGCCTCAGCTCTTGGGCTTCCGCGTTGTCCACCAAGGGCCATGGCTTTGTGGTCAGCAGCTTCACCATTTCAAAGTCTGAGCCCGTGCCACACCGGTTTGCTGTAGCTTGGTTCCGTGACCGCCGTTTAATGGCCCCACTCTCCACAGATATGACCGCAGCGATCTTTTGCTTGGCCGTGTAGTGCATCCCGAAGGTCTCATTCTCCCTCAAGACGAGCTGGGGTGGCATGTCCTCGTAGATCGAGTTCCTCTCCCTATCTGGTCGCAGAGAGAGATGCGCCACGTGCCCAAGGTACTCTTGTTCGTTCCGAGCCGTGTTGGGCTCAGAATAAACTGGTTCGCTCTCGAGCTCGTCAGCCAACTCAACACGTGCGTTGTCACCCCACTTTTGTGACGCTTGCTCATGCTCCCTGTGCTGCTTCTGCCGGTCAGGGAAGCACTGGGCAGATCACAGCACACACGCCACACGATGCCGTAATTTTGGGTGTTTCGAGCGTAACGAAGTCGAATCCCAACCTGCACGCCGCATGCCGGATGGCCCAAGAACAGGGAAACCTTTGTCAGCAATCCAAAATCGCTACACGTCATGTGGGTGCATACCTTCGGGTGCCTCTTGTCTCCGGATAAGATGTGGATACCAAGCAACTACACCCTGCTCGAAACATGGCTGGGCGCTGAAAGAACAACAATGTGAACTTGCAGAAGGTTCTAAACTCCCGTGTCCCCGAACTCCCCTCAAACCATCAGACCATCTGGGCCTGCAGATCTTCCACGATCTTCAAAGTGTCACCCTGGTAGAAGCCGATAGCTGCCCCGCCAAGTATGACACCGAACCTTGAAAGGATCTAGGATAGAGGAGATAGGTGTTTAGAAAAAATAGGGCTTACATATCTGCATGGTGCTTTGTTCTCGTTGCTTGGGGTCTGGCAGAGCCGTTCAAGGCTTGGGGTCCAGGGCTTCGGCTTACGAGCTCAGGGCTTGCTTTCAAGCGAGATCTGTTGATCTGGAGAATGTGGACGGAAAAAGTGTCAGAATCCACTGTTTTGAAGCTCGAGTCTCCTCAACTTCACCAACCCCAGGTAGTCGCCGCGAGGGTAGCAGCGGTAGCGTGATTAGAATGTCTTTGGAGGAGAAGGAAAAGGTACAGCTGCATCCATGCGAATGATCACAGTACCTACTGAGTACCCGTAGTATCCAGTAGGTGCTGGAAACAGGTGAAGCGGCGTTTCTGAGCCTTTGGCTGCACGAGGCGCTCGAAGATGTGCGGGAGCGGCAAGTAGGACATGTGAACGTCGCCGTCGCCAGCTTTCAATGCATCCCTGGCGGCTTCATTCTTCTGCGGTTAGGGTTGTAGGGCATCGGGGATTGGGATACAGAGGTTTGGGGCACAGGTTTGCCTGCGGGCACGTCAGGCCGCTAGTGCTGGGCGTTGGTGCCTGCGGTATCACGATCCTTGGCTTAGCTGCTCTCGAACAGTGGATGGATCCCAGACTGCATTAGCCACTGTGTGAAGATGCAATGACAGCACGATGCAGCGCACATGCCAGGGAAAGCTCTTCCATACCCTAGAACCCCGTCCGAGACCCTGAAACCGAAAAGCAGCAGAACTTCTTGTCCTTTGAGACCCGATCAAGGAGGCAGGCCCACCGACCACTTGCTGCAGACCAGGCCGAACAGATATTCTGATGCCTACGCAATGCAATCGGTCCCAAACTTTTGCTACAACCCGATAGGTTAATCTCTGCAAGCCCAGAGTAGGAGTCGTAGCAAATGCTTGGAGCCCGGAGCCCAATAGTTCTTGCAGTCAGAGGCTTCTTGTAGACTCCTAGAACCACCAACATAGTTAGTTCAGCTTTCGGAATTCTGTCTGGGGCTTGAGGCGGGCTTAAGGTGTGCGCCACTCATGTCTCCAGGCATACGTCTCGGGTTGACCAGTTGTGCAGGCTCTCACAGTACGGATTCTTCTGGGCAAGCGGACGTCAGAAGCACCCCTTTCGGGTCACCCGTCGTACCAGAAGTGTAGCAAAAGGTCAGGATGTCCTGACAATGCGGCAAGCTTGAAATGCTTCGATCACCAGATCCAAGTCATATTTTGAAGCGTCCGGTGAAGCAGTAGTCCAGCCTGCTGGACGAAAGCTGTTGGGACTTCAAGTCAAAAGCCGAAACCCAAGCGGCATAACGATTCCGAACCTCGACCCGCGAACCCCTCATCCTTAAGTTGAAGCTAAGGGCCGAGAACAAAACCTCAAGGCTGAGAGGTACACGGCGAAGACAAGGATGGAGACACTGTCGGCAAGAACATCACTTCACCTTAAATTCCTCAATCAAAAACCTCCAATCGCACAACCCCCAACCATCTGCCCATCCTGCGGGGAGGGCGCCAGGTGTGGCAGTGGCTTTTCAGCACCAACCTTTTCCACCTGAAGCATAAGTCAAAAACGTCACCATGATCAGGACAAGAAACGGCTCATGGAAATCGATTGAGGGATTAGGGCTTGAAGTTGCAGGGTGCAATGAACTTCGCTTACCGAGGGTTCGGGCTGAACTTCTTCTTCCAAGAGGGAATCTAGAAGTAGAAGGAGTCGAAATAGAGGCGGTAGTAGCAGTCGGTAGTTGTAGTAGTAGTAGTAGTAGTAGTAGTAGTAGTAGTAGTGGTAGTAGTAGTAGTAGTCGTCGTTGTAGTAGTAGTAGTAGTAGTAGTAGTAGTAGCAGTAGTAGTAGAAGTAGTAGCAGTAGTAGTAGAAGTAGTAGTAGTAGTAGTAGTAGTAGTAGTAGCAGCAGTAGCATTAGTAGTAGTAGCAGTAGTAGTAGTAGTAGTAGTAGTAGTAGTAGTAGTAGTAGTGGTAGAGTAGAATCAAACGGAAACACAATGGCGCACCGAATAAGATTCAAGTCTGTGTCTACCCTTCTGGATTACTGCACAACTGCCGAACAACAGTTTATGCCTCAGCAGCCGGAGACATCTGAAGCAGTGGATGGCCTGCTTTCAGGGCCTTCCACACCGTGCTCGTATGCTGAGACACTGGCAGTGAAATCTGCCACAATCTCCTGTGGGCTCAGGGCGGCCTCGCAAGTATGATTATGAATTATGACAACCCAGAGCTTTTGGGCAGCCGCATCACTGCACTAGATTCTGAAGCCAGGGAAGGGCTTCGGGAGCATGTGCTGAGGTTTAGTAGTAAGTGGCTAGCCTATTTAGAAATCCTATTGTGGCCAGGATCCTGCTGTACATGTTCCGACATAAAGTTCCCTGTAACTCAGACAGCCGGGAGTTACTGTACGTGTTTGGCGATTCCATGCTGTGACTTGGAGTGGAGTGGAACTTGAGGTACCAGTCCTGCAGGGTTTCCCAGGCCATCATTATTTCGCTCAGAAGCTTGTTACTTGATTGCTGCGCCTCCAAAGATGGGCCTGCAACTCACTGGCGAAGCACCGAACTAGTATAATGGGACCCCCGGTGTGCAACTGAACCATTGCGGGCGCCTGTCGGTGTGGCCTCGAAAACCCGGAACTCTGCGTTCGGAATTCCTGTCACTGGTCTGGCCAAACGTCACACGAGCGGAGAACGCATCCTCATCGTCATGATCACTGTTAAAGCCGTCATCATCAACAGCATCGTCACCATCGTCATCATTATCATCAGTACCATCGTCATCATCAATGATCCTCATCATAAACATCTTATTCTGCTTCATTCTCGTTACCACCACCACCCTGATCATCATCAGCAACAACATAGTCATCATAACTGTCATCACCACCACCAGCATCGGCATCAACATGATCGCCATCATCAGCATCATCATCGGCAGCAACAGCATCAACCTCAACCACATCATCATCACACTGGTCATCAGTACCCTCTTCCTTTTCGCCACGATCAGAGCACCAGTTCCAACCTCTCCACTATCACGATCATGAATGTTATATATAATGGCTTCTTCGCCTTCACCAAGCTAGGCAGCATCGGCATCGTCATAGTTATCATCATGACAACCGCCATCATCATGAACATTCACAGAGAGATTCTCCTCGGTGCCTTTGCACGACGATACTGGCCAGCAATGGCATTATGATAAGCAGCAGCATCCACACTTCTGTCACGGTCATCATCACCGTGAGCAACGTCAGCCAACAAATCATGCTAATTCTCGTCGCCGCTAAGACACCAGCAATCAGCATCACCGCATCGTCTTCGTCACCAGTAACAACAACAAGCACAACCACAACCACAACCAGCAACAACAACTTTCAGCAGCAGCTGATCACTTCGCAGACCTTAGAAACCCCATGCCAAGTGCCTCAGCAAAGTTTTGCGGGAGTGGTGGCAGCGCGGGGGTGTCCGGACTGACCTCAAGCAATGATGCACAGCGGATGAGCAGCAGCAATCTTACAAACGGAGACGATGAATTGCATGGTAAGATAGAGTTATACTGTTATACTACCTCAGTAGCGACAGAGATGGGAGCTGTAGTGTTCCGGGTCTCTTGGATTTCACAATTAATTGGAAACGAGAGCTGGGTAAAGTGAAGCAAACCAGACCTTCGTTCTCAGGCAATCGGTATGCCAACGTCGTTCCCGGCCGTGCGCAATTGGGTAAAAAGTGTTGGATAGGTTCGGCCAAGTCTGGATCCGGGCCGTTGCGAAGAGCTCGTACGCACATGATAAGACAACACTCCCTTTTTCTTAGAAAAAAAGATCAGAAAACTAGTTTCGGCTGGGGCCATGACACCAGACTCGCCGGTCTCTGGCAGCGGCGGCGGCAGGAATGTCGACCCTTGATCAAAGATTTAGGATAATGCTTCAAGAGCTCATGAGTCTTGGAGCCCGACGCTCAACCTGATGATAAGCAAACACCCCCGGCCCAGCGGCCTCCGTCTAAATCGCTGTCATCCTCGGCCTTTTCGGGAGGGCTGAGCAGGGCATGAGAGCCTTTCGGAGATTTCAGTCAAGGTAGTGGCTGTGCACGGCTGTGAGGTCGCCCAGAAATCGCACCGAGATCCTTTCTTTTCGCTTCAAACCTTACATATAAAGTAGAAACAATGCCGGAAGGTTCAGGAATTGCTGCCTGGAGGTTTGGGACTAGCTGGGCTTTGGACAGCCAATCCAACAGCGAAGCCCGGCGTAAGCTCAAAAGGCGTCAGCCTTCGATATAGTACAGATAACCTACGATATGTATATATATATATATATGTGTGTGTGTATCTATAGTATACTGTGAAGATACTTTATATTACCCCAGTTTGTCAGGGCTGCAGCTCTCGGTTCTCGCTACCTGCTCCATACCCGGAAGAGGTGGCAGCGGCGGCAGAGGTGGCAGCGGCGGCAGAGGTGGCACGGATGACCCAGCCTCCCCAAATACAAGAACTGCTTATTTATTTCAAGGGGCTCCTCCTTCGTCCCGCACTCTATGAAGCTAGCAACTCTGATGCAGTCAAGATTAACCAGCTGAGCTCTCGTATCTCAAGGGCAGTAGAACCTCCGCACTGGCACCGTCTTTCTGTCCGTGTTTTAGCCGTTGCGTCTCATGAACCTCTGTCGGACACAAGCTGTGGTGCTTACCTACACCAGGACACAGCTTTCAGCATACAGTGCCCGCAAATCCAGAACCAGCATCCACGGAAGGCGTGGGCCTTGTTGCCGTTGCTAGGCAAGGGCGGTAAAGGTGGTAAAGGCAACTCGTCTGCCTGAGCGAATGCCATCCGACTCAAGGCAAGACAGGGAAAGATTCTGGACTGGTTTGACCCGTGGAGACTGGCACGCTTGGTCCTGTGTTATATAGAAGCTGCTGAGCTAGGCTGAACTTCGAAAATCAAGCCTTGCCACGAACATAAACGGTGCTGCTGAATGAAGATACACTTGTCAACAGCCCACGGCCACCTTCAATGAAGAACCGACAAATCGAAGAGTTGAGAAACGGCTGCATGGTAGTGCCAGTGGCTGACAGAAGTTGCTAGAAGACAGTGTGTGTCCTCTCTAAGTGCACATCCAGATTGGCCAGCGGTTCACGTTTGATTTCTTAGTTCTCCCATCACACACACACACACACTCCAAGCTGCACACCTCGCCGCCAGGCAAAGGCGGCAGCGGCGGTAGGACGACCTTGCACGTGACATCCGAACCTTTGCTGCCACCATGTCTAGAAAGTCTGGCGAGTCTGAAGTCTAACTCTGCAGCCTTACCGGCCGTTACAAACGGAAACGAGATCAAAAGGACCGAGTCGGCTCCATTCTGCCATCCTCGACGGCAAACAGCCAATAGTCAGACATGACTTAGCTTACACCACGACAAAATGATTCGGGAAGCTCTAAACTCTAAACTAGGAATGCCTGTGCGAATAAAGCTGGAGATATGTTATCGTGGACAAGCGCTGCTGTAGAAGGACGCAACATGGACAGCTTGAAGTTGAACAAAGACGGATGTCGAAGGGCGACGGCAGGGGACCATGAAGGTAGACGATGTGTGTGTGTGTGTGTGTCTGTTCTGTCTGTCTGTGTGTCCGTGTCTCTGTGTGTGTGTGTGTGTATGTATGTATGTGTATGAGTGTATGTATGTGCCTGCGCATGAGACCATGAAGGCACTGACAAGGGGATCATGAATGATTATTGATCCCATCAATCCAAAACGAACAGCAGCCGACGGCAGGAGTACGAAAGGTGCTCCAGAGCCCTCACGGCACTGGAGCATTAACGGTGGCGTTGGCACGACTTTCGGAGGCAGAACGACAGGTCTAGCACACCAGAATCTGTGTGGAATTGTGGCCCGAGTAAGATTGGGGAGTGCAGATGCAGCACTCTCGCGAACTTTCGAGAATTCTGAAATCTTTGTTAGGCATCGCTGGACTTCGAGTGACTTGGAAGCCAATATGAACATGGACTGTGGCCAAACCAACACACCAAAATACTTTGGATTTTGCAACGAAGTTTGTGTCGAGGGCGGACGAGGCCCGAGCGGGACTGCGAAAAGACTGCGACCGACTTCAGTCGAAAATGGGCACTGCACCACAGCGGGAACCGCGGAACCGCCGTGTGCGCCTTGCCCTTTCGGGGATTAGCTAGATCCATTTGCTCTCGGTGTACTCCTTTATCCTATAGTGTTGTAGACATAACCTCATTTGCAGGAATGTCGGCAAAGGGAACGGCCAAAATGAGCCAAACATGTTAATGTCTAAAAATTGCCAGACACAGGCCTTGTCCCCGTTGCCAGGCAGCGGTGGAAGGGGTGGCACGGGCAGCTCCTCTGCCTCAGCATGCGCTGTCGTAAGGCCAGCCTCCGAACAGCTATTCCCTCTTCATGGAACCGATTCTGGGGCTGCACACGCTGCCAGGCAAAGGTGGCAGCGGTGGCAGCGGCAGGGGGGCCTTGCATGCGCAGTCCTATGCGGTAAACCCTGTCACGATGTTTACCTAGACAATCCCTGGCTCATCCTCCGTCGTGTCTTCGAGGGCATATATGCGTGCAGTTCGAGCCAGCCGTGTCGTTTAAACCAGTGTTGAAACGACAGAGGCATGCAGTGAGCCACATGAGTTCTGAGCCGTGGAATTCGGATCCGTCACCACACTGCCCAAGTCAAACAACGGAAGTCGAGCTAGAGACCTGTGCACACAGCTGAGCTCGTGAGCAGGGAACTTCTGTGACGACGACGATTCTGCAAGCCTCATGTTAGAAGACACGGGCCTTGTCCCCGTTGCTAGGAAGCGGCGTCGGCGGCAAGGGTGGTAGAGTCAGCTCCTCTGCCTCAAAATCCAATGCTGCAGCAGACAGTCTCCGAACAGTCATGGTCACCATGGCAGTCTACAGATGTGTAGTGGTCTTGCTAGCATGTTTTGTTTGCAAGGTGCTCCGGAGCTACAAGGTTTACAACGCTGATAGCAGAAAACGCCAAGCCCAGCGCAGACTCTGCAGGTCTGAACGATGCTATCCGATTAATCTTGCACCAAAAGCATGTCAACTGGATCTTCATGAAACGAGGTTTGTCGGCTGCCAGCTGACATCTACCTTGAAGCTCCTCGAACCCGCGAACAAGCTCGACTCACAACATGTGACACCCAACAGGCTGGACAGATTCGGGGGAGTCGTCCCAATGCTACGGTGCACCCATACGATCCGAGCCGACGGTCTACACCGGACAGTGAACCTCCTCACTAACAATCGTCAACAACTGATTCCGGGCTGTGCCTGGTTGCCAGGCAGAGGCGGCAACGGAGGCAGGACTGCCTGAACCATGGTCTGTGTGCGATCGAACTGTTGGAACGAAGAGCTGTATCAAAGGTCGTCTGAAAGCTGGCTATCATCAGAATGCGCTGTATGTCCAACCAAGATTTGCACCTGCATGTTATCGCTCTGGCGAGCTTCCAAGTTAGGATACCAAGTTGTACGGCATGTCAGATTTCATTATCCTGGGAACGAGACAACAATCAAGGGGCATGGGAATGTGCCCTTCAAAAGCTCCTCCTTGCCCGACCCACATCTGTTACCCAAAAGTCCCTTTCCGATGTCCTTCGATACACCGAAAATCTCACATCACTAGTAGTAGTAGTAGTTGTAGTAGTAGTAGTAGTAGTAGTAGTAGTAGCAGTAGTAGTAGCAGCAGGAGTAGCAGTGGTGGTAGTCGTCGTCGTAGCAATAATAGTCTAAGTCTAGTCGCTTCGCATACAATCAAGAGGCCTTCAAACGCCCAGCTGTTCTCATTACAAGTACACGGAAACTGGGTGCGGTACACAACAATTAACAGCTAGTAACTGTACTACCAACACTCTACTGCGACTGCTGCTGCTACTACTACTGCTACTACTACTACTACTACTACTACCACCACTACTACTACTACTACTACTACTACGACTACCACGACTGCTTCTTCTTCTGCAGCTACTGCTTCTGCAGCTGCCAGGACTGCTGCTGCTAGCGATCCTAAATAGCGTCAAGAATAGCTGATATACTGGTGTTGATGCTACAACTCATACCCACTGCTACTGCAGTCTTACTTGTACTGTTGTTACTCTGCTATTTACATTTCCTGCTGAACGTCGCGATTCGAGAAACAGGTGTATGCTTACGGCAACGGGGACGATGCACACTATGTTGACGATGATGATGGGGCTGAGGCTGATGCTAATGATGATGTGACGACGTAGAATCCTGATGCCCGAAGTGTTTGCTGAAATTCAGAATCTAGTTCCGGGCTCCAGACCCCTTGCTCTGCCACTGACGCAGCCACGAAGGACGGCTCGGCCTCTAGCGGCTTCGAGCGTCATAGTTCGGGGCGTTTGTTTCAGTTGAGTATGGCCTCAATGGTGCGAAGCTTTCCTCCGACAACACTGAAATAAATGAGTTGGGAGGTGGTTGTGCACGAGAATCAGGAAGCTCAGGAACAAGGTGTTGGAATTTGCGCCGGAATTCGGGGCCCTCGGCACACAGCTTCCTGCCACATTCTGAGTTCACCGCAGGCACTGGAGGCTGAGAAGGCATCGGCGGCAGGGGGGCCTTTTGCTCCAGGATTTGCCGTGCCCAGGTCGTCGTTTGGTTGTAACCGTGTTCAAGTCTCATGTCTTCAAGCACACAGCATGTTGAACAATGAACAAGACTGGACTGCCGGCAAAAGATGCAAGAGCCAGGACTTAGAGAAGCCTTTCCTGTGAGCAGCCTGATTGGAGACGCTTGTCGCTAGCACTGGCTGTCTCAAGATGTAACACGGGAACAGGAAAACCTGAGTACATCACCTTCGAAGATCAGGCTCGTCTCAAGGTCAAAGACATGCCACAGCTGCTACTTGCACTTTACGCCGACCGCTTTGGCCGTTCGAGATCAAGGGCGCATATCTGGCCTTTCAGCAACGAACTGGCCTTCTGGTCAGAGTTCGTGCCACTGGTTTCAGTTTCGCAAAACGCGAGCAACAATCACTTGACTCGCCGACTTTCTACGTTCTCTCTCCTAGGCCCGAGCCTTTGCCCCCTTGCTTGGAAGCGGTGGCAAAGGTGGCAGCGCAGGATCGTCTACCTTGCCCAGCTTTCGCTTCCGAGTAATTTACTTGAGTGTGCTCCAGACCTTCGACGCAAACACTGCCGGGACTGAGCAGGCTGGCTTCAGATTGCAGGAGAACAGGGCACTAAGCGAGAGGTGTGCTGCATCGCTCAGGGATCAATGTGCTAACTGTTCCACATGGACTTCACCTCGCACGTCATGGATTCGTGGCCTCGATGCTCTGAAATCTTTATTCGACACGACAAACCCAGTCTGCGATCAGTCCGCCGATCCGTCCGGACATGGTCTGGAACTCAAGTGCATAACTTGTGTAGTGATTGAGGTCAAAGCCCGGAATCTTTCCAGCTGCAACTATGGCAGGCTCGTTTGATTCGCGTACGTAGCACTGCAGCATGCGGCAGTCGACCGAGACACAACTTTGGAAAGACACGACGGTTTTGCCTGGATGCACTCTCAGAGTATGTCAACGCAAAGAACACCCCAGCTTCTGCCACCACCCCTCCCTCGCACAAAACGTACATCCTCTAGTTGCTACCATGATCCCCAGCATTCATCAAGCATCCACTGTGGTTTGGCATGCTATTGAAATAATCACCAACTCGCAAAGCATGACGATCGGCTAGGGATACGTCTTCTGGTTTGCCTGACACCGATATCATTCAACAAACACATATCAAAGGGAAATGTGATGCAGCTGATCAATGCTGTAATCGTTGGTGAGCGAGGAAGCCGCCCATGAACCAACCTGAACCCCAGAAACCTGGAACCCT